TTGAAATGCCATGGTTGCAATTAAAGAAGCCACTACCATTAATGCACTTCGTTTTTTCTCCAACCAATCATCTTTCTGTTTAATCATCTTTTCACTTCCGTTCTTTTTCACATTTGAGGACAAATCTTGGTGTTCATAGGACAAATTCGAGCCTGGACTAGTAATATTATGATTAATTTGGACTAATGAATTGTTTCCCGTTGATCCAAATGCTCCAGCACATTTCAGAGATTCTTCAATTTCTTCATCCCTCAAATCTGTTCTACTATGGATCAAAACATCCATTCCTGTATTACAGACTCCATAAGCAAAAAGTTAACTGTCTGGAGACATTTAAAAATATTTAATATGTGTTTGGTATACAATATTTTGACATTATACAAAAGAATATTAAAGCTTCTCTTTTGTTTTCGATTCTAAATTCTCCCTACCAAATGGTTAATTCCATTTATAAACATCTGACACAAAAAGTTCGGTTATTTCTCAAAATTAAAATGAAGAAAAATGGGTTTGGTTGAATTCAAGTGTGAAAATAGAGCTATTGGCATACCTCAACTTGTTTACAGCTATTGTCAAGTGTAAGATAGTGTTTCCATCACTATCTTTACAATTTGTGAAATCTTGATCTCTAATGGTATTCACCAAGTGCTTTAAGGCCTCAATCTGATAGTACTTCACACACAAATGCAGAATAGTCTGCCCTTGACCCACGATCACTTGAGCTGCATCACGATTTGCTTGAACCAACTGTTTCACGGTTTCAATCCAGCCTTTGATGGCTGCCAGATGGAGAGGCGTCAGCCCATTTCTATCTCGAGCTAGGCACATTAGAGGATCAGCTGGTAACAACACTTTAACTACCTCGATATTGTAAGTGTTATGCCCTAGATCCAATAGATTTAGGTTGTAAACGCTTTTAATATATTTAATGCATTTGATTTTGGCGAGATCTATTATTTATTTAAATTAAATTTGTAATAAATAATATTAAATAATAGAATCCGAAGACTCAATTTTTAGGTAATCTGTTAATCACAAGGAGTTGTGATTGCGAGATACAAATTACATATAATTGGATCTTGAATAAACCATGGTCGTAAATAATAACGAGATACAGATATCGTTAATACAGTTAGACCATCACGTGTGGCATTTCTTACTTATGAAGTAAGTAGCTGATCTCACGAGCTAAAGTGTGGTGACACTTAAATAAACATGTGGATGTTTTGTTGTAGAACAAAACATTGGAGACCCGCTAAGAGATTCCACATGGATAACTATCTGAGTGTCAGTGACTAATCTCTAACGTTCGGTAGTGGGATTGATCCTTTGACTTGAGGTCGTCATAGTACCCTATATGAGGACAGTCATACTTTGGCGGTGTTGGATGTTGCTCTGAAAAGGGCCGCTAATACGACATCGTTCGGGTACGTCAAGAATCTATGAAGGTTGTGATTGATCAATAAAGGATTCGTCACTCTTAGATAGTAGGAGATTATGATCTGCGTTTCATTCAATTAAGTCGATAATGAAATCCTTGGCCAAGGTGTACTCATATGTCGAAAAGGAGTTTTCGATTTATATTGACTTAATAGTGGAATGAAAGATATGATCGATGATCGAGATTGACACAATTCCATATCTCGTAATTGATCGGATCGTATTGACGAAGGGATAATAGTTCCACGGTAAACGAACGATTTTGGTTTTGTCATACCACGTGACATTTCCCGTCACATGTATTGCCCTGACACATTGCTAGATGTCAATCAGGGACGGCGAATGTGAATTGACGATAAATTAAAAGGGTGTATTAATTTATCGATTTTGATTAGATCAAAATAATATTTCACGACGTTAGGCATCGTGGTCGGGAACCTAATGGGTCGCACACAAAAGAGAATTGGAAGACTGCAAATTGTTAATTGATTAATTTAACAATCGTTGGATAAATTAATTAATTGAATTTCTTATTTATAATCCCGAATTAATTAATTGGATTAATTAATTCACGGACCGGGTTTGATTAATTGGATTAATTAAATATTGGACCGGACCGGGCCGGGTCCGTTTTGGTTTATATATATGTGCAGCTAGGGTTTGAGGTCCATTAAGTTATTCATTGTTCTTGTTAGCACAAGAAAGAAACCCTAGCAGTTGCTGTTTCCTCTCTGTGTGGATTTCATTGGAGGCTGCACAATTGGACAGTTGTGGGAGGCAGATTCAAGCTGCTGGAAAGGAATAACGCGAAAGAGTTTGCAAATCACACAAAAGGTATATTTCTCATCACAATTTTTATCTAAATACAAAGCTGAATCCTGAATGGGAATTGAAATTTGTTAAATTCCGCTGTGCATGTTTAAATCAATTCCCAACAGATATAACCTTTAGCAGATGCCAAATGAAGAGGCGATGATTGACATAAATTCAATTCTCGTGCAAATTTAGGTCTTCATCTTATGATTTCCTTCACGAAATCAATATGTCCCAATATTGCTGCTACGTGCAAAGGAGTATCAGAGTAACTATTAACTATTACTCTATCAAGAATTATTGGATCTTCTTGAAGCAGCTTCTTCAATGAATTCACATTTCCCTCAGCTGCTGCTTCGAAAAGCATATTTTCCATTGTCTCCATCTCCTATCCTATTGCGAGAACCTGTCAAGATTTATCATATTTGCAAATGAATCCAATGAAGGCTGTTGTCAGTCACTATTTAAAGAATACAAATTGCATTTTTCTTCTAATGGTTAAAATGTCCATTGGATATTTTGGAAGACTTCGAACAAATCTTCGTACTGTAATGCAATTGGCAGACATATAAATATACATATAAGAAATAGGTTGTGTTCATATTTCAGTTGGAATTTGGAAAATTATTTATTTGGACAAAATTCTACAAGATTTTGAACTTATATTATTACATGGACCTCACGTCATGGAAGAGGATGGACCCAGCTGGCCCTATGCTGTCTCATCCCTTCAGAATTTTCGGAAAGTCGATCAGGAAAGGATGCAAATTTCAACCTTTCAAAATTAAAAATTTTAATTTTCATCACATTTCTAATTTATTTGGGATTTAATTATTTTCAGTTTTGGAGTTGCAAATTTGTAAATAAAAGTTTGATTTCAAAATTAAATTTTCAGAGAGTAAATGTTTTTAAACTTTACCGATATTTTAGATTACTTCGTCAATAATTAATAATTGCAATTTTGAGCATGGTAAATAGAAAATGATGGTATAGAATTGTGGGGAAAAACATTCAAGTTGGCCGAGTTTTATATGAGCCCTCATATTTTAAGTTATTAAGTGAATGGCTCTGGAATAATGTATTTGGATTATGAATGCTATGCTGAGAATTTACTTACACATGCATTACGAAATTTAAAATAATTTTAATTTCTACCAAGTATCTTTTTTGTATTTAGATAGAAATTGTAATTCGAATTATATTTTTAGTAAATTATACAAACTTCTTTAGCAATCCTAGAACACGAATAATCATGATCTCCACACATCACAACTGTCCAATTTGTCTAGCCTCTATTGGTAATCCATAGAAAGGAACAAGAATGAGGGATTGTGGTTTATCTCTTCTTGTGCTAATAAGATTATTAATGTATATTATGATCTCTCAAATCCTAACAGGTTACTGATAGATGTTTATGTGGCTTGACCCATCCATTAAACATGTCGACCCAATATTTTATTATTCCAATAAATTAAACTTGGCCAATAAGTTAAATAATCTAATTAATTCCACAAATATCCAATA